TGTTACTAGTAGCGATGCACTTGTTTCTACTAGCTTCTTGTTACTACCAGTAAGGCACTTGTTACTAGAAGCGATGCACTTGTTACTACTGGCCATCTCGGTGGAAAAAGAATACCATCGTGTTCCCAATGTAGTAACGGAAGCAAAAAAGCCAGGCACACTCCTTCACGAGACATCTGTCGAAGTCATTTTTGTGCCCAGCCCAAGGACATGACTGGTATTTTGGGACAAGCAGGGATGTCCCACATCCACGCTTCCTACACTGGGCAGGGGCAGAACGGAGAATCGCGTGGATCCAACTTTTTCATAAGGCGCTTGGAGGATGTGAGCTCGTCACTAAGCTCAGACGGCTGACGGTGTTACTGAGACTGCAAAACGAAATAGGTGTTTCGTTGACGATGATTGTATCGTGTTGATGTCGTGCTGATTGAAGTGCCACGGCATCTTTCGTTGCATCAAACCAACTGCACCAAGAAAGACAGCGAGTCGGTCGAGGACTGAGAACGAATGCGCCGTCGGGACTGTAGACTTTGTGCGATTCCGTCACCCCAATGTGGCGCCTGTAGCGAACCCTGACAAAAAGCCGAGAAGCTGCACCAACAATTACAGCATCACTGCTGGGGACAAGCAAACGAAGCATTTCATGAGGCAACTCGAGTGTTTTAAAGACTTTCGCTTCCGACCTTTAGCAATGGCCTCCAACCTACAAGCGATGGCCTCCAACATAGCAGCTTCTTGCTACTAATAGCAATGGCCTCCAATATACTAGCGATGGCCTCCCAAAAAAATATAGGAACCAAATCGATCAGGCGAAGGGCTCTTCTGTGTCCAGGCGGTAGTGTCAGCAGTTTCATATCGCTAAAACAGCTGCTATGCTACGACAGCTTCATACCTTACCTATCCTTACCTACTTCCCCTCCCCCAACATCCCCCTTTAGAAAGTCAAACATTGATTTGGAGTCTGGACTTTAGTCCACCCCGGCATCCAAATGGTTTAATCCTGCAAACCAAACTTGCCGCAACATGACATGTCTGGCAAGCGCATGCTACTGCAAGAATCGTGAAGAAAATCAACTCCTTACACAAGTGATTAGGTTGGAGGCCATCGCAAAGCACGCTCCTGCCTCCCACTCATTTCGATCCAACTCAGTCTGGATCGCCCACACTCCCATGATCTGACAGGCTGATGTTTCAATGGTTTGTGTCGAACTCTCGCATCGTTGCAAGAAGACTTCCAACAAGACTTCACCAGCTACCTGTAGGAGAACACAAAGGAGTACAGAAGCAGACCTGATCGAAAGCTCATGAGAATTCAAGGCAAAACCAAACCGAATCCAAAGCTTTATCGTCTGGAACTCTGGGATGCCAGCATCATGAAAGTAGCAATGCGGTCCCAGAACTGCAAGGGCCAAGCTGGGCTAAGTCCAAGCTCTTGAAGACTGGCTCAGTCCAGCCTCGCTCTCCTCCTGCTTCAAATAGAATGAACCGGACAGAGAGCAAGCACCTACGAAGAAGATGATGGGCCTGCAAGAGACAAGAAGAAGTTGTTCATATCTGGACCCGCAAACGTCATCCATTTGCACAACAAACTTCAGAGCGTTTTCCTGCTTCTCAGGTCCCTGCAAAGTCCCTATTTCACACTCTAGCAAGGACAGGCGCAGAATGCCAGCCAAAACAGATGTTGGCCTGCTGCCAAGCTTTGGTGACATCTGCTGGACGGCAACTCAAGAACCACAAACCTAGGACTGAGCGCTCCACCAATCAGGACCTCCACAAAGGATGGACACCTAAAGTGTTGCAATGGAAGGAATCATCTACACACTGTACTTGGGGCAGGAGTACTGTACAACTGTGCAGCCAGCAGGTATTTTCACAGAACTATCAGCCTGCAAAGCTTTGCAGCAGTCTACCCTGCGGAAGTGAGCCACTGCACTGGACTTTATTGTGACATGTGACATGCATGCTTCTTCGGTCAACCACCCGAGAAGTAAGAAACCAAACAGGCAGGGAGACAAGCAGGCAAACGGAGACAAGTTCTCGTGGGACACAGGAAGCAGAGACAGGCCAACCGCAAATCATATACTAGGGAGATAAGATATATAAGTAGGGAGACAAGCTTGAGAGACAAAACCCAGCAGCAACAGCGGCAGGAAATCACGGAATTCAGTCACCCAGTCATTCAAAAGTAACAACCGCTATAGCTGCGATTTGTGGAGAAAAGCGTCTTACAACCCTCTAGTTTCTTTCCTCTGCTACAACGGTAGGGAAAACAATGGTGCGTGTATGGAGGACGAGGGGCAAACAACAGTGACCAAGGTGCAACCAGGATGCTCAGGATGCAGGAGTGTGCTTTAAGCAAGGACTGTTTGTACAATGATCTACAAGGCATTCCTGCAGCCTTGTGACCGCTTCCCACACTTTGACAGAACATGGCAGAACATTCAGGCTGTTGTGCTTTGGAAGTGGGTGGACGACGAGCACTGACGGACGGTAGAGTAGAGCTCGATGTCTTCGAGAGATTTAGGATATCTTAGGACCGTCAGAAGTTTGGGAAGTCTTGCCTCTTCATAGATTGGATTGGTTCAACCTACCGACAATGGCCTCCAATCTAGCGATGGCCTCCAACCTAACGGCGGGCTAAAACATGACTCTTGATTATGGAGACTTGGAGCCTGAAAACCCGTAGATGTCTGTTTGAGGTCTCCTGGAGTCCTGCCACTAGAATGAATGAGTAGTGCTTGGATGGAAATATTGCTTTGCTTGCCGACTGCAGACTTGCCTCAGGGAGGATGAAACTACATTTCCCATCAGCACTGGCTCCCTCTCCTTCTCTGTCCGTAATGAAGTAACAAATCTTATGTTGCCATTTTGGCTTCAGCTGCAGGCCAACAAAGAAAAGCCACGTCTGTCGCTTTTCCACACAAGGGAGTCCCAATTACAAACACTATGCTTTATTGTGGGTGCGATGAGGGAAAAAGAATGAAAGCTGATGGAAACATATCAAGAAGCAAAGGCCTTGGGGAGATTCTGTCATTTCCAAATTACAGGCAAACATCAAAAAGCAAGTACATTGTGTTCATCAAGTAAAGGTGCGCAAGTCAGTTCGCTCCCTCCAAACTCCAGAATTCTGCGGGCTTTGTTGGTTTGAACACACATTATATTGGCAACAACATCACGGATTGTTTAGTATGTACCTTCACCAAGAGTTCAATCACCACAACCGATTGCAAGCTACCACTTCATACTATATGAGTGTTGCTAATTACTACTACCCCTTTCTATTATTCTCGCCTTAGGTCATGGACTTAGCTGAACTACACCATGCAACTAAAAGGAATGCTTTGTTGGAAATCCCGTCAATTCTCTGGCATGCTTGGCCTCACACTTTGCCGAGACTCAACCCAGGCTTTCGAAGGACCGCCTGCGCCGAAGCAGTCACAAGAGCATGACAATGAGAGGGAAAAAGAAGGCCCCCTTAAAAAAATTACAGGGGTCCAAAGTCAATCTTGTTTACAAGAGCTTCTAAGGCAAGTAACGTATGCTTAAGTAAAAAAATGTAAGAAAGAATGTTCGTGGGAACTAGGTTGGAGGACATTTGCTGCTTTAAGTCGTAAGAACTAGGAACTAGTCAGTCACTAGTCACTAGCAGTCCAATGAGTCACCGTTTCAGTATTGTCTGTGCATCTCGTTGCGCCTCAAGAGCCCGGATCATGGGCTGATTGATGCCCACCTGGACAAAGGCAAAATGCAAAACTGTTGTTCAATTATCTGATATTGGTAATTTAAGCTTGTTCTTTTTGCGCGCGCGGGGTGGTAGGTCGCTAGAAGTAGCTAGTAGCTAGTAGGTACAAGGACGCTACTACATATGAACGCAGGATAGCTCACGCTCGCACTAATGATTTGGTTTCTAGATTTTTAGGGAAACTTAATGCATTCTTCGCTGTCCTTTCTGCTTTCGGTATTTCGGTTTCTTTTCTAAGAAAAAAGCAAAGCACTTATTTCGCACTGGTGATTTGGCTCTGAAATCCTTTCTTGCATCGCCAGCCAAAACGACTGTAAGACGTGTGGCGCCTGTGCCCGGATGAATGTCAACTTCCCTAGTCTCTCGCCAATCAGTTTCCTGGGAGTACGGGCATCAGCTTAACTCTCAACAAGACCTACATTGATTTTGAACTTCTCCGTTTTTGGGCTTCGAGCTGCTGCATGGCACAGGCTAAGAGTTTCAGTACCTTCAATACTTTAGGCAATACGGTCATGTCTAAGCAGAGAAACATTGAAGCTCTTAGGTTGGAGGCCATTGATCTAAGCAGCGATATCAACGCCTAAGAAGCGCACAAAGCCCACACCAATGGCAATGCCAGCGCCGGCCTCAAAGCCTTGGGTCGGCTGAAGATCAACAGACCGACAAACGAAATGAGACGTGACATGACACTCTTTTGAATGAATTCAAAAGAGCTAAAAAGCATGGTTGATTAAATAAATCATTCATGTTCTTCTGTCTGCTCTTTGGCCGCCTCTTTTCTCAGCT